CAGGAACACAAGGAGGCAGAGGCATCTCTCACGCTACCGATGGAATCCCAAAAAGAGAAAAGCCACATCCCATCCCTTAATATTTAGTTCATACTTTGTGTATTAGGAGAGCCGTGTTTATATTTACAATTCATACCCTCCTCTCATAATAAAAACAAAGTTTCTAAATCCAAATTTCCCACGTATTATTAAAGTTCTTACAGCATGTGACTGTGATTAATTGACAACAAAAATATACTCTAAAAACTTCTGAAAGCAAGGCTGACATTTCTCTTATAAAGATCATTACTTTAAAAAACAAAAAAAAACCCCAAAAAAACAAACCAAAAAAAAGATTGGTAAGAATCATGGCAACTGGTATTTCTTAAAAAAAATAAAAATAATAAGAAAAAAAAAAATCACACCTATATTACTGTCCTCAAAACTCCAAAAAACAGCTGAAATTATTCGTCTCCTGTTAAGTCTACCAAAAGGATTAGATCTAACAGCTTTCCCTCTCTCAATGAATGCCAGAAGGCATTACAATTGTTTAATGGATATCTGATTTGTTGCAGCAGATATTTGATTCCCCCTTCTGCAATTCCATCCAGGGCAATTCACACAAGATTTCCTGGAGGTCGTAACTACAAAACTCTGAAATGCTCACCAAAAGAACAGTAAGTGGGCTGAGAAACATACTGTCATCTATGGCCATCTCATTTTGCTCAAGATTCTATGTATTTCAATAAATTGCGTTTAATGCTTTTACCTGCAGAAGGCATTAAAAAAAAAAAAAAATGAGCTGCACAAATAATCTGCAAGTTACAGAAAAAAAATAAGTGCTCAAGAACTACATCTGCAACAAGCATATTTAAAATTTCTAGGACTGTACAAAGTAATTTTTTATGTTACTCATTTATGGGAAAGAAATGTCCTTGCTTGAAAACATAAATGGAGATGAAGTGACTTGAAGATAGGTTTTAAATGAAAATTTAGAACTTTCTGACACCAGTACGCATATTTCAGATGTTCTAAATGCTTGTAAGACTTAACAACAAAAGAATACCAAAAGTCCCACAAGTGAGATTCTCACGGAATACTGTAATAAGAAAATTAACTTGTCTTTCTAAAAAAAAAAATAAAAAAATAACTCTAATTGAAAACAAATTTATATAACACAAAAAAACCCCGAAGCCCAACAACAAGAAGCCAGCAGCAGCAGCGTGCCGTTGTTTCTGACCACAAAACTTAATTACATTTCACAAGAAATAATCCAATGTCCTGAAGTTTTGATGATTTGTAAAGACTATTCCAAACGGGGAAAAAATCAAAACCATCACTTCTTTATGCACGATCTGTCATGAGTTATTGTCATTTGAGAGAAGCCCATGTAAATGCACTGCAGAGCATCACTGCAAATAAGTGTCATCAGCCAGTGTCACTGAAAATATTTCTAACCCTTCACACTCAGAAGGTGACTAAAACTACCAAACCTGTTGTGATCAGGCCCCATTTCAGTGTATTTATATTCTTCTTGAATCTTCTCCTTTTGGAAAAACTGGTTCAGACGTGCCTTGGCATTTTCCAAGGTCCAATTCCCATGAAGATCAGCATTTAAGTCCACTTCTGACTCTGAGGTCTAATATTAGGGGGAGGGAAAAATAAATAAATCATTTACTAGTCTCTAATAGATTTCAGTTTTAAATCTTCCTCCAACAAGTCTTGTCTAGGTGCTATAACATAGTTAAGACATTACAGAAAATGCTAAAAAAGTTCTCAGTATTTCCTTATTTTCCCAATAAAATGTTTATACAGATAACTGGATATTCACAATATCCAGAGTGATTTATTTTCTTCTTAGCATAAATACCCTTGTTAAAAGCCAGCAGGTAAATCTGCAGCTTAAGCTAAACCCAGAAGCAAAATATCAAATTAAAACTGCAAGTTTGATTATAAATGCTCACAACAAATGAAAGGGAGTGAAAGATACCTATTTAAGAATGAAAATAAAGGAGAATTACACAGAATGACTTACTGCCTGCACTCCTTGCTCCTCTCTTTTGGAATAGTAATCTTTCAAATTTGCACCCCGATCCCACTGAGCTCCACGATTGCCACAGTCTGCAGGTGCTGCACCTGGGCCATTGCCTACCACATGGAAAAAAAGAAACAAAACCAAAGTAAGTGTCCCAAAACATGTTCTTAGCAATGGAGAGGTACTGCCTGGCAATCTCAACAGGACATCACCAGTCCCTCAGATCTCATGCAGTCATTCACACCTCTGCCTCAAAACTACAACGACTTTTGTCTTCTGTCTGCAGAATTATGCTATTTGTGAGAAAAAACCCCACTCAAATCTACACACACATATTACACCAATACACATCTAAGTTACAGCTTTCATGGTCTTACCTGTTTGAGCCTCTATAATCAAGTGTGGAGGAAGAGGTCCACCCAAAGTAGAACTGGAACCAGTCACATCTCTAGCTGCTTCATGTCTATCAGGAGTATCACCAGCTGCTGGCTAGGAGAGAGAATGAAGGGAAATATCAGCAATTAGTCTTTTTACTATTTCGCTAGAAAACTGCTCAGGCAGCTTAAGGAGATCACACATCATCGTGCGACAGTTACCCCCATAGTAACCCCCAATAGTAACATCCTTTTAAAATGTGAAAGGAATACAATAACTTAATATTTGGCTTTTTGTGAGTGTTCTATAACAACATTTCCAACCAACAAGTAGCACTGACTTACTGAAGTTCAGTAATAATAAAAAAACCAACTGTTTCAGCACCCAGGATGAAATAACAGATTCCAGTCCCCCAAGTGAACACAAATATACGTTATGAACACACACACACACACACACACACACACACACACACAAAAAAAACCCACAGTAAGAGAACATTAACACCTTTAGAAAATCATAGAATCATAGAATGGTTTGGATTGGAAGGGACCCTAAAGATCATCTAGTTCCAACCCCCCTGCCATCAGCAGGGACACCTTCCACTAGACCAGGTTGCTCAAAGCCTCATCCAGCCTGGTCTTAAACACTTCCAGGGAGGAGCAGCCACAGTTTCCTTGGGCAACCTGTTCCAGTGTCTGACCACCCTCACAGTGAAGAACTTCTTCCTAATATCTCATCTAAACCTCCCCTCTTTCAGTTTAAACCCATTTCCCCTTGTTTTGTCATTAACTGCCCTTATGAAAAGTCCCTCCCCAGCTTTCTTGTAGCCCCTTCAGGTACTGGGAGGCCGCTATAAGATCTCCCCGGAGCCTTCTCTTCTCCAGGCTGAACAGCCCCAACTCTCTCAGCCTGTCTTCATAGGAGAGGTGCTCCAGCCCTCGCATCATCCTGGTGGCAAAATGACAAAATTATGGATAATCATTACAGTTTGAATTCTTCCCATTGTGAGATGTGTACGTCTAGCTGACTGATCACACCACCCCTGCTTTATTCCAGATACAGAACACGCCATCCCTTTTAGGATCTAGCCACGTAACACATCACACTGGCATGAAACCACCTGGTTCACCAGAAACAGTATCAGTCCTCTTACCGTAAGGCTTCATTTAGGCTAACGAGGCAGGGACACGGCTTCCACTGATCACACTGTGTATCTCATACAGATATATCCTTAACGAGACACTAGAAAAACCTTCCAGCATTTAACATGTAGCTTCAGCCTGGAGAAGAGAAGGCTCTGGGGAGATCTTCTAGCGGCCTTCCAATACCTGAAGGGGCTACAAGAAAGCTGGGGAAGGACTTTTCATAAGGGCAACTAATGACAAAACAAGGGGAAATGGGTTTAAGCTGAAAGAAGGGAGGTTTAGATGAGATATTAGGAAGAAGTTCTTCACTGTGAGGGTGGTCAGACACTGGAACAGGTTGCCCAAGGAAGCTGTAGATGCCCCCTCCCTGGAAGTGTTGAAGGCCAGGTTGGATGAGGCTTTGAGCAACCTGGTCTAGTGGAAGGTGTCCCTGCTGATGGCAGGGGGGTTGGAACTAGATGATCTTTAGGGTCCCTTCCAATCCAAACCATTCCATGATTCATGCTTTATTTACTGTTCCCTAAAATTGCTGTAAAGACAGAGTTACCTCCCTCCTCAGTTTTTATGTGATAGCCATTGCTGGTACCTGCATGGTTCATATAACATTATAAAAAGCAGTGATCCTATTACATGTGAGAAGCTAAGGCAAAAAGCATTTACTGTTTAAAAAAACCCAAGTTTTCAATGTCTGGTTTGAGATGTGATTTTTTTTTTTGAAGCACACAGTATTATATACCATAACACATATTTAAAACAATTCCCAGTGTCAGCTGTGAGTATTCAGCACAGTATTCAAGTCAGGCTGCACCTCTGAATTCTCTCCAGCCTCATCAGTTCTGCAGACCAAGAATGCAGCTGTATTGACCAGATCAGCACCACAACATTCACTGTATATATTCCAGCTTTCCAGCACTGCAGGCAGAACTCCTGGCACTTTCAGTCTTTTTCACTGCACAGACTGAACTCCAGGGATGAAATGCAACCAGATGCACAGCACTGCAATTAAAGATTAGCCTTTGGTAAGGAGAAAGAGCAGCTTACTCCAAAAGCAGGAACTTCGTCTCTCTTCATTTCATTCACCCGGATCAAGTAATTGATAAAGTCTCGAGCAGCATTGCTCTGGGCATCTTTCTTGTTAGTGGAATTGCCCATGCCAACGTAGTTGAAGCCTTCCACTCGAACCTGCACATAAAAACACAGACCTGTGGCACGTACAAGGCAAAGTGTCTTAAGAACCAATAAACACCAAATAGAAGTTGCTAGTAAGTACAAGAGAAATATTAATATGAAGTATTTTTACATATCATTATACATATATATATATATATTACTGAAGCTTTTGAATGTGTACTTTATACCTACTAAAGAAAACACCCACAGGCCATTCTCAGAAAGCATGAGTGCTTCCCAAAACCTTGCTTCCCAAAACCTTTTTCTTAAACTTGAGAAAAAACTTCTTTCCAGTGAGGGTGACAGAGCCCTGGGACAGGCTGCCCAGGGAGGGTGTGGAGTCTCCTTCTCTGGAGATGTTCAAGACCCGCCTGGACGCCTTCCTGTGTAATTTCGTTTAGTTTCCTGCTCTGGCAGGGGGGTTGGACTGGATGATCTTTTGAGGTCCCTTCCAATCCCCAACATTCTGTGATTCTGTAATTTGCTGGAGAAAATGAATCCGTGTAGGAAAAGATACTACCAAAACACAGCAACAAACTCTGCCCATGTTCACTTCCCTCAACCTCAATCCCAAATCCTCAGACAACAAGGACAGGAGCGAGTTTATGTCCCCTCTACCGTAGCTCCATGTTATTACAGTTAGTAAGATGCAATGTATTTCATAAACTCAAGAGACAAGCTTTAGAACAGCAATTTTATATCCTGCTAGCTTGCCTGAGAAGTTGCTGCAAAACTTGATCACAGGAAATGCCTTAAAAATTCAGATTAACCAGGCATTTCACACTCGCTTTGCTGCAACCACTGCCCCTCATCTTATTTTCTTTTTTTTTTCCCCCCACATCTACAGTCAGCAACTCCATTTCATTCCAGCTTCACCTGGATAGATCACTTATGCATTTCTGATTTCTACTCTGCTGACCATGTAAACAGCTTTTTACTACAGCTAGTTGTTCTTAAAAAAAACCCAAGTAAGCAGACTTGCATATAACATTCCTTCTAGCCCAAATCAGAGTTCTGCACAATGTTGCTAATGCCAGACTGCATTTGTCCTTCAGTGCTGAATCACATGAGTAGCCAATACCCATTTTCTCACCAAACAACATATTCTGTTGGTTGGTATCCTACTTAACAGTTTCCAAATAATGAGCTTCCACTTATCTACGTGGACTATCAGTCTACCAGGACAATGGTATTGCAAACCAAACAGTGACTACACCAAATTCACAACCATGCACCAGACTGTGAAAAACAGTAAAAAAAATATAATGTTTTAGCAAGACCTATCCATTTGTGTATTAAACTTCTATAGATGCTCAGGGGGCATCAACATACAACACAGAGAATGGTTCAACAATGTAATTGTCTTTACAACCACCTCACCTGAGGAATGCTCAATCTCCGTTACCTTTAAAACAGGTTTACTCTCCTGCGCTTCTCAGTTCAGTTATTGGTGGGGAAGACGAACAGGGCAGGAAGGGTAGGTATAAGGACAAATTCAAGGTATTTAGTGCCGAGCTCTGGCATCGCTTCCAACCGAGCCGGTTCTGCAGGTGGCCTGGCAGTGAGGGGCAGCTCCTTCTCAGAGCCAGCCCGGACACAAGGCTCCCGGCTGGCACATCCACCGGAGCCAGGCACGGAGCAGGGCTGTACCAGCACAACAGGGACTCTTAAACACGAAGGGACACACGCCACGTGTAAACGCACACATGGCCCTTGGGAAAACCGACC